GTCAGGCATGGCGGCCTGAGCTAGAGCAGCCATAGCTGCTGTGTGTTGTCCTTTGGCCAGCAGGGCCATGCCCCGGTAGTCCGCCATAGCCTCGGCCTATGAGAGTGAAGAGGGAGAGAGGCGGCCATGCCTATGGTGGACCTCAAGTGATACCTGCAGTAGAAGAGGGACTTGGACATTGATTCTGGTTCAGCCATTCAACATTGTATTGTTATTTCTTGTGTGAAAAAGAGAGAAGGAGATGAGGAGGAGAGTGATTGGCGAAGAAGAAGAGCTTTCTCATTGGTCTATGATGGTGTACATCATCTTCTTCTTCTTTCTTTCTTCTTCTTCTTCTTCTTCTTCTTCTTCTTCTAACCCTCTCTCTCCTCTCAAGTTCATTCATTTCCTTTTGCAAGTGGACGGCATTGTACTTGCTGATGAATGTGTACTTCGAAATTGGCCAGGATCATAACATTGGTATCAGAGCGGATTCTACTTGCTGGTGAGAGTTGACTTATCCACTCTATCCCTAACCTAAGTGGTTAGGGCTAACCACTTACGGTTAGGGTTGGTCCGAAGTGGGAAGTGGGGCAGCGCGGGTTAGGGAAGCTGCCCCCCACCTGGCTAGGTCGGGTTGGGTCGACAGTGAACCTAACCAAGTTCATTGAGAGTAAGTATGTGGTGGCGAGACACATCAAGAGGACTTCATGCGACAAGTTGAGAGAGGCGACAGTGAGAGGCACTCGCACCTGGGATCTGACCTAAGGGAGACACTTGGTGACTTGAGGACCTCCCTCAAGTAGGTGATCCTGAGGAAGGTAGGCATTCTGCATCTACGGACTGCAAGTTGCTACTTGTTCTTCAACATCGGCAGGGGATCCGGCGTTGCACTTTGGTGTTGGAGTGGGACCTGCAATCAGACTCGCTTTCTTTCCACTTCGCACACATGCAAACAGATGGAGACTCACATTGGCGCAGGGCGCCCACTCAAAGCTTAGAGATATGGAAATTAAGAGCACAGTTCAGATGCAAGTTCGCTTCAACAGGCTATGGCGCATCAGCGCCTGAACATCCCAACCTTCGTCACTGTGTCCAACCCCACTGTTCACACACGCTCACTCTGGATCACCCTGAATACCACCACACACATGCGCTATGTCTAACTTCCTCCTACAGCGGCTATGGCCGCACTACCACGACTGACTATGGCTACGATCTCCCTTCAGCCCACTTCGTCTTCGGGCAACCTGCAGACCACCTCCGCACAAGATGCTGTAGCAGCACTTCCGCATGCCTTACACAGCGAATGAATGTATGGCTGAGCTCTGCCTCTTGATTTATACTTCTGTAACTCGTTGGTCTGCCCCTTTCCATCGGCCCATGGTGCACACAGTCCCTCTTGGTACTTCCTGGACTGGACTGGGACTGACTGGACCGGTACCACTGACTGCATGGGTTTGCACTGCCAACTCGATGCAGTCGCACTGCCGACGCAACACAGTTAGGCTCACCACTTGCCCACTTGCCTCTGTCTAAACGTGAGACAAACTTCGAAAGGCTGCTTCCGGAACTTCCGGAAGTCTGTGGGCGTGGCCTTTCGGGTACTGTAGCAGCTACGACCTTGACCTTTCAGGACTGTAGCAGCTGCGACCTTGACCTTTCGGAATGCCTATAGCTATGACCTCTACAAAGCTGTGACCCCTACTCGACAGACCTACAGATTCCTACATCTACACAGTCGTGTGACAGACAAACAACAACTAACGAAACACAGGTCACGGGTTCAAACACTCGGGGGTCAACTCGATACTGTACATGGGTAAGGTAAGGTCTGGGGATCGAACCCTGGAATCGGCATATGCCTCTGCAAAGGTGAAAAACCGTTTCAGACCCTCCTGTAGGGTAGGATAATAGTGTAGAGGTGCAAATAGGGTTAGAAGGACCATATGAGGAAGGCGGGGTGAGTTATACTTCATCTCAGAGTCTGGGCCACTCAGGTAAGTGTTGTGCACCTAAGGGTTGCCCATGTATGCGTGCATGGTATTGTTTGTCCTATTGGGGTACTTCTGGGTCTCTCTCCTACTCCTCTGAAGTCTTGGTTGTGTGCATTGGTGTGCAAACTACTCACATAACCTGATGGATGTAGAAATGAAGTATCTTGCTTTGAATGCCATATCGTTCTACAGTGCTTCGTCTTTTCATCTCTGAATGGATGTAGTCTGTAGGTTCTCTCTTGAAGTTGATTTTCGTTTTTCAGTACGGTAGAGGCAGAAAGTAGGACCTTGATGCACTCTCCTTCCTTGGGAATTGGTCGCAACCTACGTGGAACCCATTGGGACTCAGTGGGACCATGCCCAAACAAGAAGGGCCCCTTGGACCCAAATCTGTTTACGAAGTGTCGCTCTCTTTTCTGTCTGGGATACAGTATTCGTCTTTTTTATTAGAGCCCTCGCTGCCGAGGGGATCTCGGCTGAGATGCTTTGTCATACTGATGACGCACAATCCAATGCTTGACCTACAGCTTATACACCACTCAATTCTTCATTGCTGTCCGATGTTACTTGTAGTCTGATTTGCTGTACTTTGACGGTGCCGATTGGATTAGGCTCGACGAAATCTCCTACTTGGTCTGACCGGACTAAAACCCGGCGTCAGAACTCTCTTCAAAATTCATTTTTATTTTTTGTTGTTGTTGGTTGCTCTCTAGTCCAAATAGTTGTCACTCCGGCTAGGAGTTCTACCTTTTCCTCTGTACTTTCAGTTTGTTTCTTTACCGAAACTCCTTGTATGCCCGTCGCAACATGCGGACAAGAGAGAAGAGAGGGAGAAGCCATGGCAACTGAAGGAGCTAGTAGTTCCAACTGTGTGACAATAGTTTGTACCTCCGAGGTCTCGAACTGGGCCTGCCAGTGGACAGGCCAATGGTGAACTCCCCCGAAGTGAGCAATGCCCACGGACATATCTCCCCTAAAGGGCAAAATTTCAGACTGGGCAAGGACAGTACTCACCAGTCTGCACTTAAGAACCAAAGTGCAGTGATACTTCGGTTCCACCATTAGCAGTACAGCGGACACAGATGGACCAATTTGACATGTCTTGTTCCAAAAGGGACGCTGGACGCGTTTTCCAGCAGGTATATATGGTAAACCAGTCAGGCGCCTGGACCTGACACAGCTCCCCACAAATAGATGGAGCCTTCACCAGGTGGGGCACTTTGGGAAGTGCTGTCCTCCTCTGGCAGACTGCATCCACACGGACCTGCAAGGCCCGACCAGACGGAAACAAAGCGCCCTCCAGGCCCTGTGTCGTTTCAGCCTAAAAGCCTAAAAAGGAGGGCCATTTTCAGGCCCTCATAAAGTCGACCTGCCCTGAAACTTAGGCACAGACCAGGGTTAAGCGCAGGCCATTTTTAGGCCCGTTTCAAGACAACCTTTGTTTGAACTTCAACGCTAGGGTCTGGCACGATTCGGCATGGGCAAAAGCAGCCTCCCAGCTGGACCAGCACTATATAGTACTGGTCCGCCCTGCAGGCTGCAGGCAGTCACTTCACGGGCAGTGCAAGAGGCAGTCTTCAGGAGTCGGCAGCAGCACTCTGCAGGAGCGCTGCAGTAGTAGTAGTTAGCGCTAGGAGTAGTCTTCAGCGCTGGGTGCTGCTAGGAGCTTAGAGTAGCGTTGAGAGACAGAGAGAGAGAGAGAGAGAGAGAGAGAGAGAGAGAGAGAGAGAGAGAGAGGTGGCGGAGGCCAGGGAGACTTACCTGTGGTGCCATAGCTCCAGCTTCGTCTTCGATATACCTGCAACAAGGCGCCACCTTCACAGGTTAGTACTTGGCACAAGAGGGAGAGAGAGAGTTCTTCTTCTTCCTCCTCTAAGTCCACCATCTCCCCCTCCCCCTCTCGCCACCTGACTTC